TCACGGCGTCTGTTATCTGGGCGGGCTGCGCCAGGCGGAGCAGCATGAGGTCGTGGCTGTAGTCCTCTCCTGGAAGGCGGGTGTGGTTCTCCAGGAGGCTCAGGTTGAAGTCAGGGTGTGGGAAGCTGTGAGTGACCCAGAGGTACTGGACTGTGTCTTCATCCTCAAATAGGTTGTGGCGACCCAGCCAGATCTGGTAATTGCTGGAGAGAGAGGGGGATGGAGGGAATGAAGAGAGAGGAGGGGGGAAGGGAGATGGGGCAGGGGAGCCTGGGGGAGGGTCCCAAAGAAAGAATGAGAAAACAGTGAGAAAACATGAGGGGGGGGGGAGAGGGGGAGAGAGACAGGGAAAGAAGTAAAGATTTAGAGTCATGGAGAAATAGAGAGTGAGAAAAAAAAAGAATGTGACAGCGTGAAAGGCAGGTCCACAGACAAAGAGAAATGCAGTGAAAAAGAGAAACCTTAAAAAACACAGGGAGTGAGGAAGGCAGGTGAACAGTGAGCTAGAGAGAGCACGAAGGTGATGGGAGGAGAACAGACGGCAAGGACTCCTTACAGGGAAGAAGCAGGAGAGAAAAGACAGAAGAGGCGGGAGAAGGAGACAGAGACACAGTGAGCAGGGACACAGGAAGTAAAAAGAGGGAAGGAGAAACAGAGGAGAGGAGGGGAGGGGAGACAGAGTGTGAGGGGGAGAGGGAGGGAGGGCTGGCGGTGGGGCAGGAGGGAGGAGGGGGCCTGAGAGCAGCTCAGCTGCAGCTGGGCCTGTGGGGCCGGTTCCCCAGCAGCCGTGTGGCCTGGTCCCCAGCCCAAGGCCGGCGGGCCCCTCCCACCCAGCACCTCTCTCCCCTTCTCCTCCTCCTTCTCCTTCCTCCACTGCCCCCACCAGCGCCAGCTGAAACCAGCCCTTCCCTGTGTCCCCCTGGATGGACGGTTGTCCTGGAGGGAGGGGCTGGGCAGCGTGAGAAGTCGCCCCCCCCCCCACATGTTGGGGAAGTCCCTTCCTTTTCTCTGGGGGTCCTCCGCAGTCCCATCCTGGGGATGAATGTGCTCTGCAGTGATGGAGAGAGGGAGTGAGGCAGAGACCAGAGACAGAGACGGAGCAGAGAGATGGAGGGTGAGACCTACAGAGACAGGGGTGACGGCTGAGAGACCCAGAGATAGACAGAGACAGGGAGAGACACAGAGACATGGAGACAGAAGAGAGGGAGACAGAGACAAATCATAGTCACACAAGGAGACACACAACAGAGCCAGTTACCAAGAGACACTGAGAGACAGGACAGAGGGGGCACAGGAAGACAGAGAGACAGTCACACAGGGAGACACAGGAAGAGAGAGAGAGAGTTACACGGGGAGACACAGAGAGAGACCAGGCAGCCGTGGGAGGGCTTCCCTGGGGTCGTCCAGTCCCAGCCCTGCCTCTCTCCGTGGGACCTGGACCAGTCCCATCCTTTTCTCCCTCAGCCCCCAGCCTCCCCTGAGGTGATCCCAGGGGAACGGCCCTGGCTGAGCTTTCCTGTGGAAGCCCCTTGCCCTCCCCCCATCCCCAGACCCCCTGTTCCTACTCACTCGCTCTTGCAGTGGGCGGCTGTGAGCACCCACTGGGGGTCCACCAGGACACCCCCACACTGGAAGTCAGTGTAACGGTACAGAGCCGCCTGCCAGGGTTGAGAATGATTCTCGCACACCCAGCCTCCTATGATCCGGGACTGGATGGGGGGCACGGCACCTGCCAAAGGGGTGGTGGGTCAGGGGTGGGGGTGAAGGCTGACAGGAGAGGCCAGGGGACTGGACGAGGAGAGGCAGCTGTGCTGTGGGGTTGGAGGGACAGGGGGCAGAGGGCCAGATTGGGGGTCTGGGGACATGAGCAACAGGTGTTGGGAAGGGCCTGGAATTCTGGAGCCATCCCTGGGATTGTGGCTTGGTGGCTGGTCCTGGCTGGGGAGACGTTATGCTGAGAGCAGAGCCCACCCCAGAAATCAGGGTGGAGACAAGACGGCGGCTGGAGCAGGCATCGAGTGTGGGGGTCGGGTGACTTGGGGTCATGGATGAGGGCTAGGGGGCTGTGGGTTGAGAGAGGGGAAAGAGATTCTAGAAAGCAGGAATAACGACCCTAAGGGAGAGGTTCAGAGCTGTGCGAGGATCTGGAGGAGGGTTGAGGCGCTATCAGGTGAGGAAATATTTAGGCCCAGGTTGGGCTCTTGGGGTTCTGAAAAGGATGCAGATTTGGGGAATCAGGTCTGAGAGGCCAAGGAGAGCATCTGGGCTGGGGAATTTGGGGTCCCTGGATTTGGGACTGGAAGGGGTCAACTGGGCTGGGAGAGTTGGAAGAACTTGGGGTTCCAGGTCAAAGAGTGAATGAAAGGGTTAGGTTGGGAGAAAAATCCCATGAGGGTTTGGGGTCCTGGGAACCAGGAATGGCATTCTAAGAGGGGTGGGGGCCCTGGGACCAGGTTTGGGGTCAGGATTGGGTTGGGCTCAAGAGGAGGGAGAGCCAAGTGTTAGTCATTCTGGGGTCGGGTGATTCCGTGGGGATGGGTTCATGGTCTGAGGGTACTGGCAAGATCTGGGGTTCTTTTGGAAGCACTACCAGGACAGAAATGGAGAAGGAGGCATTTCAGGGGCCAGGCAGCTGTGGGAACACAGAGAGGACCCCTTTGTCGTGGGGTTTTATAATCACATGTTGGGGTACTTGGGTGAGGTAGGGCAGGACAGCTGGGCTGGGAAGGGATTTGGGAATCCGGGGATAGGGTCTCAGAAAACCAGACCTGTACAGGAGGGACGCAGTTGGAGAAGGGCTGGAGCTTGAGAAAGGATGGAAATCCTACCAAGGAGCATGTGGTTGGGGATTCTGGTGCTTTTCCTGGGGTAGAAGGCTGGGTGGAAGCTCTAGGGCAAAGAGTCAGGGAAGGAAGAGACATGCACAGAACCCCCAACCAGGATGGGGGGCCCACTGGGTGTCATGGACCAGAAAGTCTGTTTGGGAAGAAGTGTAGGTGTCTGGTGGAATTTGGGGGTCCTGGGAGGACTGGAGGAGACCAGATGCCATGACCTGGAGGACCTAGTTGACAGCTGACAGCTGGATGGGAAAAGTCACCAGGGTGTGGTAGGATCTGGGGACTCAGGAGCCAGACGATTGGGTCATAAAGAACTAGGGGGTAGGAAGAGGTGATCAGGGTCCCAGGGTCTGGTGGGATTGGGGGGGCTCCTTGGAAGAGTTGGAGTCTCCCAAAGGGAGAGACAGAGATGGCCCAGGATCTGCCCTTTTGGTAAAGGGAGTGGGGGCAGGGATCTGAGTGGGGAGGAGAAAGTTCTGGGAGTTCCTGGGAAGACCTAGTGTGGGAGTGAGGACTGACGAGGAGGAGCTGGGGTAGGATCTTAGGCTGTGGCTGGGAGAGATAGGAAAGAGCCTGCTACCCTGATCTGGGCACAGTCTGGGGTTCCAGGTAAGAGGGGAAGGACTTATGGGGGGGCGGGGGAAGGGCAGCATGAGAGTGGGGGCCCGCTCCCCCTCCCGCATCTTCCCCACTGTCTCACCGGTCCCCGCCAGGGACAGGGCAAGGCACAGAACCAGGAACCACATGGTGATAGAGGTGTCCAGGGGCAGTCAGGCGGTAAGCTAGGAGCTGGAGAGCCTCCTGGAGGAGCGTTTTAAAGCCTTCATCCCCCTGGGCCCCACCCCTGCCCTGCTGGCACCCAGACACTGGCCAAGGCCCTGCCCCTGCTGCCTGGGGGCTGGACACCTCCTCCCACCCCAGGGGGAAGGGAGCGTGAGCACCTGTTGAGCTGTAGGCCCTCAATCATGCTGGAAGCATTCCTGGGGCCTGCGGCCAGACAGGGCAGGGCCTGGAGCTCCTGGGGCCTTGCTCTTGGGGACAGAGCCAGTGAGCAGAGTGAGAGTGAGTGGGAGCAGAAACGGGGGGGGGGGGAATCACTGATCCCTAATACGAAGCCCATATAGCTGAACCCCAAGTAAGGCTGTGCACCCCAAGACCCAGTGTACCCTCAAATACCAGCAGCGGGGTTCTGCTGATTCCCTGATCCCTCCTCGCACCGCTCAGACCCAAGACGTCAGCTTCTCAGCCTTCACCTCCCCCTGAAATATAGCTTTCTATTCTCATACCCCGACTCAGACCTAGGCCCCCAAACCTACTGTTCTTCTCATAGTAAAATCTTAGGGTACCCGTCACCACAATCCTAGCATCCTAGACCCAGAACATGAAATTTCAATGGTTTCCCTGAATAAAGTTCCCAGCATTTTGAAATCCAATGTCCCCCCCAATGTTGGGGTTCCCATTACCACCCACACCGTGTTCTCCAAATCTGGATGCTCAAGGTTATGTCGTCCAAAGTCCCGGGAATCCCAAACTACTTGCCCTCCAAGGTCAAGAGTATCCTCTCCACAAATTCCAATCCCCCTCCCCCAATAAAATATTTAGGTCTCAGGAGCCAGGTTCATGTATTTCAACATTCAATGACGTTGAAAGTCACATATTTGGAATCTCTGAAGGGAATCGGGAACCAGATTCCTGCAGCCTCAATGGTAAACCCACGGGCTTCCAACTGTTCCCTTGGCTCTTTAGGAAAATCAAAGCAGGTTACAGGGTCCCAGTCGCTGCTGTATGTCAGGAACCTCCCCAAGGAAAGGAAAGTATTTGCCTTTTTGCTATGGCTACCAGGAAGCCCAGAGCTAAATCTTGAAAAAAACGAAGTCATTCTTGATCATTTATTGTGTGCTGGGTCCTTTCACCGGGGTCCAGAGATATAGAATATTTTCCCAGTGCCAGGCACTATTCGAATCAGTTCATATGAATTTCCTCATTTAACCTTTACAACCCTATGAGGTAAGCAATATGATGACCCCAATTTTACAGGTGGGAAAACTGAGGCTGAGTGAGCTTGGGTCTTTTTCTCAAGATCACACAGCTGATCCTATGTGTTGAATGAACAGAGCCCTCTTTCAAGCCACCTCTCCTCACCTACGGATTAGTGCAGTGGGTGACAAGGAACCGTGGACAGTGTCTGGCTTCCATTTCACTCCATCCCCAGAAGAAAGTCACAGAAAGTTCTACAGAGAAACTTGCATCAGCGCTCTGTTATCTTGGTGTTAAACAGGTGACCTAGAGCACCAGCTCTGGCCTCAGAGGGACAAGTCCTTGGCTAACATCTGGGCCTTGGACAAATGGGGTCTTGGGGGATGGCTCAATTCTGTCCCAGGTCAGGACGGGGGGGCTGCTGGCCAGCCATGGGAGCTTCTGCTCAGTCGGAGACACAGGTGGTAGGCCAAAACAGTCAGTTCCTCTTCACCGTTTCCCTGATCCACTCCAAGTAGCGGCAGACTTTAGTATAGACACCAGGCTTGGTGGTGGTGTCACAGGGGACGTCACCCCAGGACACAATGCCCTGTAGGACGCCCCCACAGACCAGGGGTCCCCCGGAGTCACCCTGTGAGAAAAAGAGGAAGCTTGAATGGGAATCTGCTGGATCCGGTGCCCCCATCCCCATCCTAATCACCATTCAAACTCAATCAAAATCCAGTCCAACCCCACCCCATGCAAACCCACCTCAACTCAACTCAACGTAACCCAAACCAATCCAACCCAACACAACTCAATGCAACTCAGCCAACGCATGTCCAACCCCACCCCATGCCACGCCAAGTCAACCCAACCACATCTTCCCATTTAAAGTTAAACCACACCCATGCCCATCTTCACTTCCAATACAACCCAACCCCAATCGTCATGTTTGCCGCATCCCAAACAGAATTTACCCCCATCCCCAATTCAACCCTGACATATTTCCCATCCAACATCAAACCAAACCCGTTCCCATTCTCAACTCCAGCCTGTCCCATCCCAAACCAACCACCACATCGTCCACCCCAAACCCAACCCAACCCCATCACCATCTCTAACCCCAACTCCAACCTCACTCCTATTCTAACTGCGCTTCCTTCTCCAGCCCCACACCTACCCCGGGCATCTCCTCTGGCCCAAAGCAAGCAAGACCCAACCCATCCCCACTCCCAACCCTCTCCCCTCCCGCGGCTCTGACCTCACAGGAGTTCGTGCCTCCGCCCTCCACGCCTGCACACACCATGGTGTCCATCAGGCACCCCGGGTAGTCCTTGCTACAAGACGCGGCCGAGATAATGCTGATGTTGGCACAATGCAACTTATCTGGGAGACTCACTGGGGAGGACAGCGCACCCATCAATTTTCAGGCCCTTGTCCCCTCCGCCCAAGAGCCCTGGAGAATAGGGCCCCCGGTGGCCCGACATCCAGCTCCATCCTTTCACGCACCTTGTGACTCTGGGCTCCCCGTGGTCCTCGACTCGCTGCCAGACACCAGGCCCCAGCCGGACACCACGCAGGTCTCTCCAACTTGGGGGCAGCGCGTGGGCAGCGCCACGGGGCGCACTTCCGGGGAGAGGAGCGCGGGCCGGCTCAGTCGCAGCAACATTACGTCATGGAGATGGCCGCGCGCTGCGTAGCCCGGATGTGGGATGACGCGCGAAACGGCCCGCAGTTGCTCTGGGCCCTCGCGCTTGCGCAGATTGTGCTCGCCCAGCCGCACTCGCATGGAGCTGTGCGGGCGAGTGATTACCCGCAAGTGGAGTGAGGAGTAGATAGGAAAGTCGAAGAGCAGGCCGCCTGGGGTCCCCTGCCCCTTTGGGAATCTGGGTATCCCATTGCCCTCTCCTCAAGGCCCTGAAGCCAATAGTGTCAGCCCCTGCCCCTCGGGGACCAAGGTGTCCAGAGTCATGCACACACTTTGAACTCACACCCTGGCTTCAGCTCTTTCTTTCTCCGAATCCAAGATCCTCAGATCCCCAGACCCCCTTAGACCCTCTCCACCATGCCCCCTCAGGACCTTGAGCCCTGCCTTCATACCGGGTTTGGCAGTGGGCTGCAGACAGCACCCAGCGTGGGGAGATGAGGGAAGCACCGCAGTTAAAACGTCCACGCTCGAAGAGGGCCACTTGCCAGGGCTGGGAGTGGGGTGCACACGCCTCACCTCTTGGTATCTTGTCACTGCCGTCCTGCGAGGCTGGGAGAGGGGCCAGAGGAGGGTGCCTGAGGACAGAGGCCTTTTCCTCATACCCTATGCCTTCCTTGCACCCTGCCCTCACTACATATTTTTCATCCTTGTCTTCCCTTAAGACGTCTCTGGTGTTGATTTTTAAGCAGTGCCTTCTCTCTAACTTTTACAACTGCTGCTTGTTTTCTCCAGAACCGTCCCCCTGCCCTCGACCCCCCACCCCATTCGCTGCAGGACTCTGGGAGAGAGAGGAAGTGAGAAGACGAGAGGGCAAGAAGTCCTCTGTGATAGGGAGTGGAGGCAGGGACAATGGATACAGGTCCAGACAGGTGGTCACTTGGAACCAGCCATTCAAGGTCACTGAGCTGTCACAGACATCAAATGGATGTGGCCATTCAGTATGAATGACACACAGTCTTGGCTCCAGAGTCTGGACATCTCAGCCAAATGCAATGTGTCATACAAGGACACAGATGCGGCCGCACAAGGTCGTGGGCAAACATACAGCCACAACCAGCCTTCCAAACTTAGGAACTGAAAGGGAAAATGCTTTAAGCAGAAACTAGCTTGCACGCACATGGGTTGCAGCTTCAAGAATCATAGCACAGGGGCCGGCCCCGTGGCTTAGCGGTTAAGTGCGCGCGCTCCGCTGCTGGCGGCCCAGGTTCGGATCCCGGGTGAGCACCGACGCACCGCTTCTCCGGCCATGCTGAGGCCGCGTCCCACATACAGCAACTAGAATGGATGTGCAACTACGACATACAACTATCTAGTGGGGCTTTGGGGGAAAAATAAATAAATAAAATCTAAAAAAAAAAAAAAAGAATCATAGCACAGAAGTGCATATGTGGGTGTGAATACGGACAGTTAAGACACGGGCACAAAAACACATTCACAGACCCAGCTTTGGACGTAGAAGCTCAGACCTAAATTTACAGTGTGGGTCTGCATATACTAGGTCTAGATGCGCACACTTGCACATGGAGTCTGAACACATAAGGTGGGGTCCTTAATAAGGGTACTAAGGTTGGGTCCTTAATAAGGGTACGTGGGGAGAGACACCGATATGTGTTCAGGCCCCCAGAGACTCGTTCACACATATGAGTCTATCATATAGTGGTTAAATCTGGAGTGATAAAGTCCCCTGAGCCCAAACATATTATCTTGAGACTTTGAGCAAAATATATTTGACCTCTCTGTGCTTCTGTTTCCTCATCGGTAAAATGGGATTGTTGTAAGAAGTAAATAGGTGTGTGCGTATGTGTGGATGTGGTGTCTGGCACATTGTAACTTCCTAATAAATATTGGTTATTTTAAACAAAGGAGACATTTATTTATGCAGACATACATGTGGGTGTTCAGGTTATGGACTCAAATAACGGCCAAAGTAAGCCAGACATACCTGCAGACCTGGATGAAGATAGCCAAGGTCAAAACTGTGATTCATCCCCAAGCCTCTTTGTGGAGATTCAAACTTATAGACACCGACCCAGAGGCCAACACTCAGATGTGGACCCACTAGATCAGACCCCAGGGCGACACCTGGACACAGGGCTGGGCATTCAAGATCAAAGACACACAACTAGAGACACAGGCAGCCAGGACAGGACATGTTTATCCATTTCTAGATCAGCCGCTAAGTCAGTCACTTGGTTCCAAGGGCGCATATCGGGTTTGGTGTCTGGGGACCTGGTTCACAAAGGTGGGAAGAATGTGGACACACAGGGCCTTGCCCACTCACCACACACACACACACACACACACACACACACAGAACTGCACCATGCACAGGGACATAAACAGAGATGTTTCAAGGTCACAAGACTACGACCCCCCACACTGGGCAATGTGGATATGTCCCCTCAGGGTCACAGCCAGGCACACAGACACCCACACTGGGCCAGGATTTGCACAGACAGACCAAATGCCCACAGTCTGCCTTCCAGGGTGAGGAACTGGGCCAAGGGCCCCAGGAAGGCAGGGGGAAGGCGGATGTGTTGGACGAGGGGCTTAACAAGAAAAGGGTGGGGCGTCCTGCAAAGGACAGAGAGTACGGCTGAACAGCTGGGCACCGAGGCCGCACTCGGCCAGTCCAAGCCGGACGAGGGGAGGCCCTAGCTTGGCGCAGCGGGCAGGCAGGAGGCAGGCAGGAGAGAGTACGGAGAGAGCCCGAGGGGAGGCTGGCAGCAAGGGGCGGGGGATGAGGGGCCCCCAGGGACGAGGGTGATGTGGGGGGGCGGTTCAATGAAAATCCATCCTCGACTTCTCCAGGGTACAGGCATCAGGTTACAATTAATTTCTCCACAGGTGGTGGCTGAACACCGGGTCTGGAGTTTTCCTGCCACTCAAGGTCACCTTGACCTAGTGGCTGTCCCTCTCTGAGCCACAGCCCCCTCGCCTGTCAATTGAGGCCAGTAGAGCCCACCCACAGAGGATTAGATGAGCATCCTAGTGCTGGGCCCTGTGCCTGGTATATACTAAGTGCCCGGCAATGCTAACACACCCTTACAGGGCACTACCCCGGGCCACGCACCTTCTAGTGCCCACACGTCTATTGTTAGTGTCCATGGTACAGTTGGACAAGCTGAGTCACAGAGACGGTGGGGAACTAGAAAGTGGCAGAGGTGGGATTCGAACCGAGAGTCTGTGTTCTTGGCCTCTCAATGCTTGTTTAATGCTTATTAGGAGCTTTACCCACATTACGCTGTTGAAACTTCATCATTATTGTCGCAGGTAGGTGCCATCTTCTAGAGAAGGCTTGTGAAGCCCAGAGAGGGGAAGTAGTTTCCTCAAGGTCACACAGCAAGAAAGGGGCAGCCCCAGAACTCAAACTCAGGTCTGTGTCGCCCCAGGGCTGTGTTCATTGTTGTGGGGACTCCAGAGCAGCCCCAGGCCCCTGACAGCTCTTGGGGTGGGGTAAGAACTCAGGGATGAGGTGGAGGCGGGAGTGAGGGAGGGATCATCACATGGTCTCCAGGTCAGAGAGGGGCTGGCAGATTGCAGGGCCCACATATGCTCGGGATGGAGGAGTAAGGTGGCACCGCACTCCCACAGCCCCGGACCTGACCTGGCCCCGCTCACCTGCAGACATCAGCAGGAAGGAGAAGGTGAGGAGAAGCCACATTGTGGAGGAGGGACCAGGGCTCTGCTGAAGTCTGGGGAGGGGAGAGAATGAACCAGGGTGAGGCTGGACCCTCCTGTCCCCACCTGGATCCCTCTAGACACAAACTCATCCCACCTGCTGCTTAAGAAACTTGTTTTCAACATCCTTGTTCTCCACCCGCGACTTGCTCTTCCTCCTGGGTTGCCCATCTCTGAAGGATCTGCTGTTCCTCCATGCTCCAGGACAGACCCCCAGCCCGTCAGACCCCAGCACCATCCCACTTGCCCCCTGGATCTCTCTCCATCCCCAAAGCCTGGCTCAGGATACATTCTCTCCCCAGACGCTACCCCAGGCTCCTATCTGGCCTCTTGGGTCCCCCCCAGCAATCTGTCCCTCCACTCATGTCCCCACCCCCCAGCCTGTCCCCCTATGTGGCCCTGCAGGGTCTTTCTACACCCAGAGTTGGCCATGTCCCCTTCCTGCTCACAGCCATCATGGATCTCCAGCACTCCCAGTATAAGGTCCAAGGTCCCAACCCCCAGCCTCACTTTTGAGGACAGGAGTGACCTCTCCCCTTCCAGCCCCTCTGGCCAGGTCTCTCGTGACCTTGCTGTTCTAGACACAGCCGATGCTTCCATTTTCCTTCCTGCAATTTCATTCCTCTGTGCCTTTGCTCAGGCCGTTCTTCCTCCCAGGTATGCCACTCCCTTCAAAGTCCACTTCCTCCTTGAGGCTTTTTCTGACCTCCTCCTGTCAGTGATGTCTGCCTCCCCCAGCAGACTGGGAACTCCCTGAGGGCAGGCTCAGTGTGGGTGGACTCTGGATCCCCAGCACTGCCAGCTGCAGGGTCCTGTCCTTGGCAATCTTTGGGAATGAATTAAAGTCCTTCCTCCCTCCCCCTTCCAAATTCATATTTGCCCTCTGAGGCTCAGCCCCCACCTCTTCTGAGAGGCGCCGATACCTTACAGGTATCTCTTCTGGGTCCCACAGCACAGATCCCCAGGAATGCTCAGGTTGGGTCTTTTCTATGTCTCCAGCACTGCCCAGTGTGGGGCCGGGCACACAGGTCGCCTGCGGGAGGCTGTGCTGAGCTGACCTGAACCCGTGATAACTCCTGACCCTGTTCTTGGCTCTGGTACAAGTGCTTTCGGGGACGTCCTCCTGATTCATGCCATCCCCTCCCCCTCCACCCCACTGCAGCTCCTTCTTGCATCTCCAGGACATTTTCTTGGTTCAGGTTCAACTTGGGGCCTCAGTGAAGGACACACGGACCTACCCAGATGCCCTTGACACTCAACTCCCTCAGGGTGATCCATGTGTGTCCCCTGGGATCAAGGCATCTATATCTCCCCTAGACCAGGGCAGACCTATTTCTCCCCACCCTGCCACTTCTGTCTCAAAGATCTTACCCCCTCCAGATCCTCCAGCAGCATCTGGGGCAGCCTGAATGCTAGAAGAAGGGGAGCAGGCACCTAAATGCCTGAATTTATAAGCTCCCGGACCCACCCGGGTGGGGTGGGGTGGGAGGTGGCTGAAGATGGGTTTACAGGCGGGACGCCTGGGTGGCTGGTGGGGCGGGGGATGATGCCTAATGAGCATTTATTAGTCTGAAGCTTTTGTCTGAGTCTGCAAGGAGGAATTCCCTGTCAGGGGCAGTTCCTAAAGGAGGAGGAGGCAGGAGGGAAAGAGCAGAAAATCAGAGGATATCAAAATGTAAAGCCTAGAGTCTGGAGCCTGTAATCTGGAATTTGGGGTCTGGAGAGTCAAAACTGGGTTCTAGAGTCATGCTTCTTGTGTCTGGAGTAGGGTTCTGGATCTTGGATCCTGGACCTAGATCTAGATCCCCTATTCTGGATTCTGGACTCTCAATTCTGGATTCTGGATTTTGAATCTCTGATTCTGGATTCTGGTGGATTCTGCATCTAGACCTCCAATTCTGGGTCTTGGATTCTGGACCTCCCAATTATAGATTCTGGATCGTGGCTTCTAGATCTTAATCTCTGGTTCTGGATTCTGGATCCAGATCTCAGGTTCTGGATCTTTGATTCTGAACCTCCAATTCTGGATTCTCAGTTTCGGGGGCTAGAGTTGGGCATTCATGATCTGAAGTCTAGAATGTGGATTTTGGAGTGTGAGTTCTGGAGTTTGGTTTTGGAATCTGGATCCTGGAGTTTGGCCTTCGAATGACAAGTCTCAGGCTTGGATTCTAGATCCTGGCCCTTCACATCTAGAGTCCAGACTAGGAGTCTGAAGTCTGGTGTTTGGAAGCTAGGACTCGAGGTCAGAAACCTTTACAGCTTCTGTGTGAAGCCTGGGGCCTGGGATATGAATGGTAGATTTTGGATTTTGAGTTTTGGGGTTTGGATTCTAGAGTCTGGGTCTTGATTCTGAGGTTTCATGGGTTGACTTTGGATTGTGAAATCTGGAGTTTCAAATATGTATTGTGCATTTAAGAGGCTGGGCAAGGAGACATGGGCCTTGCTTCCACGATTCTGAGATTCCTAGAACCTTGACTCTAGAGTATGAATTTAGAGACTGAGAGACTGGAACCTTTATTCTGGATCCTGCAGTCTTGATTCTGGGTTCTGAGGCTTGAAATCTGGATTCTGCTTTTTGAGGCTGGATATCATCAGTAAGATGACCCAAGGCTTTGGGAATATGAAGTTGTCTTCCAGTATCTCAGGACCATAGAGGGCCCTGAACAATTATGTAGAGTCTATCCTGGCTTGTTTAACTAGTGAGGAGACACAGAGAGCAGTAGGAATTGACCTCAGAACACCCAGTGAAGGATGAGTCCTATTATAAGTATGGTCCCTCCCTGTGTCTGGAAAGGCATCACCTTTATGGGAAGAGGCTGTTTAGGAGATCAGTGCCCAGTGCCCAGGGGTCCCTGGACCCTGATTTCCCCATAGATAATATGGGAGAATGATGGCCTGTAAATGCCAGATGTTTTTCAGACATTCCAGAACCACAGACCCTCCGTTATTCCAGAACCCTAGGGTTCCAGTCATTCTAGAACCACAGACCCTCAAAATCTGTAGAATACCAGACCTTCTAGAATCTCAGGCCCTAAGACATTCTGGAAGTCTAGGTCCTCAGACACTCTAGAACCCGAGATGTAAAAATAGTCTAGAACCTCAGATCTCCAGACACCCTAGACCCCTAGATCTCCAGATGTTCTGGAACCCCCAGACCTTGAGGCATTCTGGATTCCCGGGCTGAGAGCTATTCTAGAACTCCTTTGTTCCTTCATCTCGCCTCAAATTTGTACTCAAAGTCACAGTAGTCCACAGCTTCAGCTGAGCAGTCGCTGTTTACATGATCTCACTTATCCTCTGGACATTTATCCTCATTTATCCTCAGGTGGTTATTATGGCTTTCTCCCTAATATGGAGGAAACTGAGGCCAAGAGAAGGGCATCACAGGGAAAGGCTACACAAAGGGCAAGAGGAATCCAGTGTCCTGACTCTAGGGACACCTGGTTGGCCCTTCGCCCCCAGCCCTGGAGCCACCTCCCTCTGTTGGGCGTGGGTGGTGGCGCGGGGAAGGAAGTGAGCCACCGGGGTGGCTTCCGAGGTGCCAGGCTAAGCGCTTTCCATCATAGTCGCACGTGGTCCTCCCACTAACGCACAGAGGCAGGTACTGTCAGCGTCCCCATGACACAGATGTGGACACTGAGCGCTCGGAAGAATCCCTGGGAGGTCGCCCCGCCCCAAGCGGTGACGTCAGTGCCCCTCCTCCCACCCCCTCTTTCGAGTCATACCTGCGATCCCGGGGCATCTCCCCAGATGTCCTTCACCCCCACCGCGGCCTGTGTTCCGCCCTCTGCCTTGCTCCTCCTCCCCCCCCCCCCCCCCGACTCTCCTCAACTCCCGGGGTTCTGTCACTAGCCACACAGCTCTCCTCATCTGACCCCGAGCTCCTGCCTAGGGCAGCCACCTGCTCCTGGGAGCCCCCCTCCCCAGTGTCCCCAGGCCCCTCTCACTGACTGTGTCACAAACTCTCCTCCCATGTTTCCCATCTCAGGGACAGCCCCACCATCCTCCTAGTCCTGTGGCTTGACCCCTGGGGCACCCCTCCCTCCCTTCATCCCCTACCGCCCAACGGTCCCCATCCCCGTCCTTCCCCGCCCTGCCTTTTTCTGCTCTGTTACCTCCTCTCTGTCCCCTTGGCCTGGGTGCAGCTCAGGCATCCTCCTCTGCCCCTGGACCCCCACCCCATCCTCTTCCCTGTCCTCTCACCCTCCAGTCTGTCCCCTCCTGTCCATCACTAGGTGGCCTCAGAGGGTCTCTCCACACTCAGAGGTGACCCCACCTCCTCTGCTCATTGCCTGTCCGTGGTGACTCCCCATCGCCCCTGGACAAGGTCCCCGCCCTCAGCCTGGCATTTGAAGCCCTTTTGGATCCCCCTGCTGGAACAAGCCTCATCTTGAACCCCCTCCCCCAGGGAGCGAGTCACTGTGGCCTGCCCACCCTGGGAGGGGGACCGGACTCCTGGTGCCTGAGGGAATGAACCCCCACGTGGTGCCGGCCCTCCTGTAATTTCCTCTCAACACAGCCCCATTCATTATGGGACCAGTCCAGGATGGTGTTTCAGGGTGCTGGCTCTGCAGTCAGAGGGTCTGGGCTCAGACCCCCGCTCCGCCACTTGCTAATTTGGGAGACCCTGGTAAGTGTCTTCCCTTCTTCGTGCTTCAGTTTCTCATCCACGAAATCGGATGATCAGAGGACCCCCTGATAGAGTTTTTCGAGGGGTATCTAAGAGTCAGTGCATGTAAGGAGCTAAGAGCACGTAGTGGACCATGACTGTTAATCTCACCCTGTTTTACACGTGAGCAGGCGGTGGAGGAGGAGGGGCCCCGGTTATTCAAGGTCACTCAGGCTGCAGAAGCTGTGGGTGAGGGGCATGTCCTGTTGCATGTTGGGTGCAGACATCACCTCTCTGGTTATCAAGTGCTCATCTGTGAAGTGATCTTAGGGTGGGGTAGGAGTGGAAAAGGGGTGGGATGGTCGATAGGGGTGGATGAGGTAATATGCATGGAGCAGGTGTGTAAATCATAAAATTAGGCTGGTGCTTGAAAGACCAGTTACTGCAGGACGTGATTCAGACATGGACTCCGGAGCCAGGTGGCCTGGGTTCGGATCCTGCCTCCAACACATAACACTGTGCATTCTTGGGCAAGTCACTTGGCCTCTCTGTGCCTCAGTTTCCTCATCTGTATCATGGGAATAATAATCGCTCTGCCTTGGAGAGTTTTGAGGTCTTCATGCCTGAAATCCGTGCCTGGCTCTTACTCAGTGCTGAGTAATCCTGAGCCATTATTATCAGTTTCCCCTGGGAATAGAATCCTGGGGAGAGGTGGTCGTAGGGTCATTCTCAGATGACACAGCCAGGCAGTGACAGATCCGGGACTTGAAGAAGCCGGGTCTCCTGATTTCTCAGGGGTGGCACCTTTCTCTGAAACCCCTTTATCAAGACAGATGGAGAAACAGAGGCTCAGGGAGAGGAAACGGATCTGTGAGGCCCCAGCGTGAGTGTGACATCCAGCAGGGAGGCGCCACGCGACGCAGAGCCTAGTCTTTCTCTGAGACTTTATTTCTTGGGCTGGGCTGTGGGGAGCGGAGGGAACGGAGCCTGAAAACCCGCCTCTTCTCTTCTTGTCCTGGGAGGGTCCCGCCGCCAGATGGCGCCAATGTGCGCTTGTCTGTAGGAGGTTTTCTCTGGGTCTGGGAGAGGAGGGTGCTGGGGGGCGCGGACCCCCGGTCCCGGGGAAGGAGGAGGGGGCTGGGGGCGCCGACCCCCGGTTGCAGGGGAAGGGGGGGGCTCCCGGATGCCCGCGTCTGGGGGAGGAGGTGGCTGGAGGAAGGACTTAGAATTCTGGAACTCTGAGGCCCGCCCAGCGGTGTAGTGGTCAACTTTGCGTGCTCCGCTTTGGCGGCCCTGGGTTTGCGGGTCTGGATCCCGGCCGGGAACCTACACACCACTCATCAAGCCATGCTGTGGCGGTGTCCCACAAACAAAATAGAGGACGATGGGCACAGACGTTAGCTTAGGGACAACCTTCCTCAAGCAAAAAGAGGAAGATTTGCAGTGGATTGCAGTGGATGTTGGCTCAGGGGCAATCTTCCTCACCCCTGCCAACCACCCCCAAAAAAGAATTGTTTAACTGACTGAGGAAGGTGGTGGATCTTGGTGGCCGCAGGGAGGGGAGGCTGGAGACTCCTTGGTCCTTAATTGGTCTGCAGGCATTTTGGATCCAATTAGTGAACTTGCACACGTTTGTGTAGAACTTTGGCATGTTGGGTTTCCCACAGGGGTGTTCTCCCATGGACTGAGGCCCCACAGGTATCACCCCACACCAGACCAGAGGGCTCCCAGCATCTCCCTGGGAGAGAGGGAGAGGGAGACCAAAACTCCAGTCAGGCAGAATGTCAAAGGTG